ATTTGGAGTTCATTTCTCTGCAAGTGGGAAGACATGGGTCTAATTTCATTCTTCCACATATGGACGTCTGCTTTTCCCAGCACCATTTGTTGGAGATGTTGTCTTATGGCCAGTGTGTATTTCTTGGCACCTTTTCAAACATCAGAAGGTGGTAGTTGTGTGTGCTCACATTTGGTTTTTCTATTTGTTCTATTGGTCTACATGACTATTTCTGTGCCTAAACCATGCTTTTTATTTCTGTAACTAAGCAATATATGCCACAAATTTCAAGTGATAATCCTTCCAGCACGGTCCTCTTTTGGCTTGGGGTTGCTTTGGCTACCTAGGAAATTTTATGGTTCCATATGAGTCTCAGGATATTTTTGTCTGTCTCTGTGAAATATGTTGTGGCAGTTTTGGCTGGGATTGCAGTGAGTCTGCAAGTTGCTTCTTTTAGAATGGTTTTATATTAATTCTAAAGAGCATAGGAGGTTTTCCTGTTTTCTCATGTCTCAATTTTTTCAGAGATATAAGGTTTTAATTGTAGGTCTTTGACCTCCTTGGTTAGATTTATCACTAGATTTTTCTGAATGGGAGTATTTCCATAATCTCTTTCTCAGCATGTTTGTTGATGATATATAGAAAGGGTACTAGTTTTTGTAAGCCGACTACTGTCACTTTGCTAAAATAGTTAATCATGCCCACAGGTTTTCTATTGTACTTTTGGGGGTCTCTTATGTATAATATCCTCTGCAAATAGGAATAATTTTACTTTTTTACTTTTTTGTGTTTGTTTGAGACAGGGTTTGGAGCCTGTCCTGGAACTTGCTCCATAGACCAGGCTGGCTTCAAACTCACAGAGATCTGCCTGCCTCTGCCTCCCAAGAGCTGGGATTAAAGGCGTTCGACACCAATGCCTGGCTTAATTCGACTTATTTTTATCTCTTTGATTTTCTTCTATCAGACTGCTGTAGTTCTAGAGTGATTAACTGAAAAGGAATGGGGATAGTCAACAGCCTTGTCTTGTTCCTGGTTTTACTGAGGTTCCTTGCAGGTTTTCTGCATTTTGTACAAATATTGGCTGTGAATTTGTTATGTATTACCTTGAGTATGCTGAGGTATGCTCCCTCCAGCCTTAGACTATCTAGAACTATAATAATAAAAGCATGTTGAACTTTGCCAAAAGTTTTTATTGCATCTATGGAAACAATCATGGGCGTTTTGTCTTTAAATCAGTTTTCATGAATTATTGCACTTATTAACTTATGTGTGTCAAACCATCCCTACATAGCCAGAATAAAGACAAATTCTGTTAAGAATTTTCATCAGGAAAATTCTGGTTTGTAGATTTGGGGTTTCATTGTGATTTTAACTGCGTTTGGTGTTAACATAATACTGGATTTATAGAAGGTATGTGGAAGCACCCTTCCATTTCTATTTGTTTAAATGATTTAAAAAATATTGGCTGGAGATTTAGGAAAGTCTGATAGAATTCTCATTCTTGTTTGGGTCTGGGCTTTTTTTAATTGGAAGTCTTCTCTTATTGTTTCAATCTTCATACTGGTTAGAGTTCTTTACATTGTTGCTCTCGGTTAAATTTTGGTGATTTTGAAGAATCTAGAATTTTTTCCAACTCTTGTATTTTAAAGTGTTCCTCTGTAATATTTCGAATTTATTTGGTATTTGCTGTAATGTTTCTCTGTTAATCTCTGATTCTGTTCATTTGAGCCTTTCTTTCTTTTGGTTAGCGGGGTCAGCCGTCTGCCAATCTTGTTCATCTCCTCAAAGAAACAGGCCTTAAATGCACTGATTCTTTGTATTATTTTCTTTGTCCATATTTTGTTAATTTTTACTATTTCTTCTCAAATACTGGATTTGGGATTGGTTTGTTCCTTTCTGTCCTATTTTTTGATTTGTATTAAGTCATTTGTGTGTGCTCTCTGATTTTTTTGAGTGTAGAAGCTTAGAGCTATAACTTTCCCTCATAGGACTGCTTTTCAATGTGTCCCAGTGGTTTTGTTTTGTTGTTTTCATTTTCACTTAGTTCCAGAAAAACTCTTCTTTTTTGATTTCTTCTTTGACACACTCATTATTCAGTAATGTGTTGTTTAGTCTTTATGAGTTTGTGTAATTGAAATATAACAGCACTTTGGTTACATGAGATACATAAAGTTCTTTCAACTTTCCTAAATTTAAGATTTGTTTTGTGTCCCAGTATGTAACCTATTTTAGCAAAGCTTCCACCAGCTACTGAGTACAATGTGCATTCTCTGGTGTTTAGGTGCTGTGCTCTGTAGATATTGCTAGGTTCGTATGTTTGATGTCAATTGATTCTAATGTTTCTCTGTTATTTGCTGTCCAGGTGACCTGTCTTTTATGAGAGACAGGGTTGTTTGTGTGGTTTAATTCCTCTATTCTGTGTTTGAGGGATGTATAATTTCTGGCTACTTCCTGGAAGCACCCAGAGGATATAAAGTACAGTAGGTAGTATGGTCAGAAAGGATTATTCAAGACACTACACCAGAGCTGAATGTGGGAGTGCCAAGTTCCAGCTGCTGGAAGGATAATGCATCACAGAAGTCTTCCCAGAGAAGGAGGGTACCCAGCAGGGGGTCTGTGACATCATCAAAAGTCACCAGTGGGTAGTGAGGACTGGAAGGAAGAGGCTGGTTCACCCTTCAGGAGTGTGTTGCCAGTATTTAAGTCATTGCCCTCATGGCATGCAAAATAAAGAGAAAAATCACTATTTTCTTATTTTATCATTATTATTTTGGGGGTGGGGGGTTGATACAGGGTTTCTCTGTGTAGCTTTGGAGTCTGTAGACCAGGCTGGCCTTGAACTCACAACGATCCACCTGCCTCTGCCTCCCAAGTGTTGTGATTAAAAGCGTGCAGCAACATTGACTGGGGAAAACCACTATTTTAAAATGGGCTAAAATGTTGAACTTTGCTTCAGATGTTTTTAAGCAGAAAAGGGACATGAAAATTTAAAAACATGTGAGAAGTGGACTAGAGAAAAGCCTGGAAAAAAGTCTTTACACCAGTTCCAAAAAGTACCCAAGGAGGTGGTTTCCAGATGGAGTCATGGTCTCAACAGGCACCAAGGTGAACATTTCCTGGTGGAGTCAGGAGAGAGACAGCAAGAGCAGAGGCAGAGGGCTGGAAGCCATGGGTTTTTAGGGGCGGCTGTGCAACTAAACAAGTTAATTTTCGTGGTGGGTAAGGGTAAATACCACACTTATATTAAGCACCCAATCCAGAATTCTAATCATTAGAGTGTCTCAAGTTTCAGAATCCAGCAACCGAGGGTTTCAGGGCCTTCTTCCCACCACTGAACGAGAAGAGGAAAGATAAGAGCAGGATACCACTCTGCAAAAATGCTCTGAAATTATTAGTGAATAAGTCAATGATATAGAAATAAACTAACAAGTAAATACAATAGTAGCTGCCACTACCAACCTTTGACAAGCTTACAAGAGAGAAAGCATGTTTTCAAAGAACAGTGTGTTGAAAGAAGTAGCTATTAATATGCATTAAATGAAGACACTGAATAAAGGAAACAATGTCCAGCAATAGAAATGTTTCACTCTGAGAAGTACCAAATACTTTATCTCCTCATTGATCCTATAAACAGTTTCCAGCACAACAGATCTTCAATACAAGACAAAGTCCTGATATTGCTACTTAATTTTCCCAGTAGGTTTGGCCTTTTTCTAGCTATGAAGCCTTTCTTTCAGAACCCACCCCCAAAAGCAGGCAATTAAGGTCTCCTTTTCGTTAGTAGGAAACCAACGAAACACACTGACAATTTCCTATGCTCCACAGCAACATTTCCTGTCCCACACTGCACTCCAGTAACAACAGACAGGTCAGAAAAGTGTGGCCAGGACAATTAAGAAATAATGTTTGTTACAAATGTCCTCAATTATCTTTAAAGACCCATTCCATGAGCCCCTTGGATGACAAAATGTAAGGATGCTCAAATTTCTTATAAAATGAATTACCATTTGCATACAGCCTGCAAACATCTGAAGTAAATATTGGATCATCTCTAGATTGCTTATGCCTAACACAATATAAATTGTACCTGGATAGCACTTGTATTGTTTAGAAAACAGTGATGGCATTGCAAAGACTGAACATTTGATATTGTGCATTATTAAAATATGTTCTGAGGATTACAAAACCCATAATACAGATGACTGACTATATTATAGATGTCATGTTCAATTACTTCACATGTCCATATACCTCATAAATACAATGTTTCTGCTACCATAATTTATGTGCATTTCTGAAAATTCTCATAACTGACAAAATTTAACAATAAAATAGCAGAGCTTTTAAGGAAATTTGTTTGGTTTATCTGACCTCAAATGTATGGAACCTCAAAGCACAATTCAAAACAGTAGCCAAAACAGTAGTATAAAATCCTATAAAACAGAGAAAGAGGTAACAATGATTAATAATTACAGTGAGCCTGACTGGTGTACAGGATGGAGTATATCCCATTAGAGCCAAGGCCATGACTATGCCTATCTTGGAGGAAGATGACCATTGTAAAATCTCAAACTCTCCCTCCCTCCACACAGACACAGATACAGACACACACACACACACACACACACACACACACACACACACACACACACAGAGGAATCAAGTTGAGGGAGGCCCTTCCTTCTCAAGCTCAAGGTTATGAGTCTACTCCCAACACCATGTCTGTCTTCCACAGACATCTTCCTGATTTTCACCAATCCTATAGGAACTACTTGCCTAGCAAAGCAGGGCATACCGCAACTCATACTCTTAGAGTAACTTATCTGACCAGGCTGAATGGCCCTCGTGAGGGGACTATTGTCCACGAGCAAAAGCAGACATAAAACCTTGTGTGTGTCGGGGGGGGGGGGGTGTCAGGGACAGGCTGGGCCTGAGCTTTCCCTATCCAGTGATTCAGTCCTATAACTACTAAAGAAACAAAGTTGAGCACAGTCAAATCAGCAGCATAGCACAATACTTACATATAGTATGTGGGATAGAGTCCTTCAAAATACCAGCAATGTTTTTTCGCTTCTGTGCACTAGAAATAAAATAAAAAGAGAAAAACAAATGTTGTCAGTGGTAAGTAACTTGCACACTACTGAGAAGGCCTCACGGAAGTTAACAAGGAAAGAATGGCAATGGAGGAAAGTATAAAAAGCTAGCAGATGAGCAAGCAATAAAACACGGAGAATCCCAACTCCTCCCTTCCTCGATGTTTGCATCGCCAACCATTTTTAAAGGGGGGAAACAGCAGCAACTATTTTTATAGCTTTCCATACCTCTAAATACACTTTGTACAAACATTTTCCTACAAGGGCAAATGAGAGACAGTCCTTTGCAGGAGGGGGTGGGGGAGCAGGGAGTAGTTGGTGCTAGAAATCAAACCTACGGCCCTGTGTACTCTAGGCAAGCACTATAACCACTGAGAAACACCCCAACCCCATTTTAAAAACATACACTTCAGAACAGTAAACAATGGTTAAAACAAAGCACCAGGAACACTACTTCCCCAAAACTTTTGTATGTGACGGACATCACCCCCATACTGTCACCATGCCTAGGTCTTTACGCTCTGCAATATCATGAAAGTCACATTCAAACTATTCACTCTACAGTGGTGCACCCTGTCTATTGGACACGGCAAGCCAGGTTTCCTGGGCAGCACACGAGAGCCCCAGCCCAGGTGTTCCCTTAGATGCAAAAAATGAGAGGCTTGCCTCTACTGCCTGCCTCAGTCCCTCCTCCTATCCAGCTGCATCTCCTTGGGGCTGGGCCACCAAGTGGCTTTGACACAGGCTCCCCCTAGTTGTTCCTGCCCTCCTCAGCCCATTTCCTCCCAGGCCAACTCTATTCCTTTGGGACTACCACTGTGCATGGCCAGACCCAGGTACACACAGTTCTCCCTCTGCTGTCCTCCACAAGACCTCTAGAATCACTGACCTTCCTCCTAACGTCTTTAAGAGAGTGGTGGACAGTGCTAAATCTCTGATCATTATTCGCCAGTATTATGTGAATTGTTGACTGTTTTCTTTAATTCTACTAGACTGTGAAGGATTCTAAGCATTATACTTTTTTCTTATTGCTTATGAAAAGTCTCATCCTCTAACTTCTGAAAACATTGAAAAGTGCTTCTGGAAAGGAGAGTGTCCTTAGAACCGAGACTGAGCAGTTAGCACGGAAGTGATGGATGGAGAGTCTAAAAGAAGAGTTAAACCAAGCTGTTTCTATCACTAATAGCACTTCAGAGACCTTGATGACTTCTTACAAGCAGTATTTCTTCAAGTCAAGCACTCTCTTAAAGATTATGGGGGACGCACACTGCAAAATGCAAGTTAGTCCCAACTGCACACCCCTGGAAAACTACTGTGAGCACACATAACTTTGTGAATACATTTTCTTCTGCTTTTGTGTTTTAATTAAAGAGATGGGTGAAAGCAGATACTGCAAGGGCCTGTACTAGATTAGCTAAAAATCAATAGCCAAAATTAAGGCCCACTCCACCTGTTGAACCCTCTCTGTCATCATTATCAGGGCCAAGAACCCGTGGCTAGACAGGTCATAGGCCCTATGAGAGAAGCAACTATCATTACTGTGCTAAATGGGCCTAGCGGTAAACCACTCATAAGGATTTACTGTTATGCCCACAGATCAGTGCCTCTCTTTGAGAAGCCGCTTTTTATTGACTAACATGGAGACCCACAATTTGTCAATGTGCAGAAATTACGAGACATGTTACAAGACTACTCAGTCCAAATGGGGACATCTTTATCTCAGCCCCTCCTCCCAAGGGATCACTGAAGTTCAGGGGTAGAAAGATTTCAAGAGCCAAGGCAATGTATTCCTACAATGAAACAGTATCCTACTGACCCAGGAAGGCAGCTGTACAAATTAACTCACAGCAGTTGTCATAACATATGCAAAACCCTTGCATGCTCAAGCCAGATAAAATTCCAGCATGAAGAGGAGGGGTGGGTAGAAAGTACCACTCAGAGCTAAGGATCTACTGGCAACTGATAGCTAGCTCCTAGGAGAGAAAGAATCACTCTTCTGAAAGTGTAGCCCTTGGGGGGTAAGCCTGCTCCAGTGGAAGGCCACACATCCAAGAGTATATGGGCAACAAAACTGTATTTTATAGGCTTTGCAAACATGAGATCTCAAACTTAGGGAAGGATGAAATGAATCTGGGGGGATTTGAGGAAGGCATGAATAGAACAAAACTCCACTGTTCAAATTTATCAAAGAACTAATAAAAAAGTTTTTAACTAACCAAACTTTCCAAAATAAAAATCAGAAATTTATAATTTAAGGCATATAAAATTCATATTATACTTTCAATATAATTTAGCTAACAAAGTAGGCTGGCTAGTCTTATGTCAACTTGACACACAAACTAGAGTTCCTTGAAAGAAGGGAACCTCAATTGAGAAAATGCCTCCACAAGGTCTACATGTAAGGCATTTTTAAAATTAGTGACTGATGGAGGAGGGCCCAGCCCATAGTGGGTGGTGCCATCTCTGGGATGGTGGTCCTGGGTTCTATAAGAAAGCAATTTGAATATGCCATGGGAAGCAAGCCAGTAATCGACTCCCTTCCATGCCCTCTGCATCAATCAGCTCCTGCCTCCAGGTTCCTGACCTGCTTGAGTTCCTGCCCTGACTTTCTTTGGTGATATAAAAGTACAAGCTGAATAAACCCTTTCCTCCCTGACTTGCTTTTAGTCATGGTATATCATTGCAGCAATAGAAACCCTAACAAAGACAAAAAGTTGACATATACCCAAAGGAAACAGTATAAGGCAGCCACCTTCATATTGTAACTTAAGAATATTCTAAGAAAGCCAACAAAATGGCAATTGCAAAGTTGCATATTTTTCTTATACATTAAAAGAGAAATGAAATAATATGGAAAATGTCAACAAGAAAACACAACTGCCAGCTCAAACTGGATAAGAAATAGTTTATTCCGGAGTCAAATATGAGTGATCACGGCTTAGGAACACAGATTCAGATTACTACAAATTCCAAGTTTCAATGGAGTGAAAGGTTTATCAAGGTTTTTATAAATACAGAGCAAAGAAAGTCATAAATCAAGATAAAGCAAAATGGAAAATCTCAACTACTGAACATAGACACTATGTAACTGCATCTTTCACCTTTTGTTTGGTGGAAGCTAGTGGTCTACTGATACATTTGAGGGGTTTTACCTGTCAGTCATGAGGATGTTAGGTCAGCGACAAAAGTGGGTAAAAAAAAAATGGCTATTAATTAAAGGGATAAAGACAGCCTCAGATAAACTGTGATTAGATTACAGACCTGGCACAATCTAGCCATTCTACAATCACACAGGTTCTAATCAGTTCATCGTCCTAGAAGGTCCAGTGAAAGGTACACTACCTTTCCAGAAACATAGGTTGAGAGCCGGACCAATCCAAGGCTTTCTCAGGCCCTGATAACAGAAACAAAGAAAACTAGTTCTGTGTCTTTGCCCAGGCGCAGACTTAGCAAGGTCTAGTAGTGGGCTGGAACTTGGGCTTCAAAGGAATTAGGCTTGGAGCTTTTCTCCCTGGAGAGACTGGAGTTATCAGTTTTAGGTCACTGTATGCTGTCTGCAATGCTCCTGAGATAGCCTATGTTCCCCTTGTGCAACGGTGCTCATTGGTCTCTTGATGTCTTCATCACATCATATGACAGCATTCTACTGATGCTGCCCTATAACCTTATATAAGACTCACAATCCCAAACTTCCATCTCATCCTCTGACCTCTGGTACTTTCTCAGGACACTGTCACTGAAGAACAAACAGCTAGCCTGAATCAATGTACCAAAATACTCAAGAGAAGTTACCTTTTATATGGTAGCAGAGATGTTTTCTAACATATATTTTGATACTCTGCAAGTTCTTTTAGAAACTTTTTTTTTTTTTTTGGTTTTTTGAGACAGGGTTTCTCTGTGTAGCTTTGGATCCTGTCCTGGCACTCACTCACTCTAGCATCAAACTCAGAGAAATCCACCTGCCTCTGTCTCCAAAGTGTTGGGATTAAAGGCAGGAGCCACCACCGCCCAGCAGAAACTCTTAGTGTTTTGGTTTTTTAATTACATTATATTTTAGAATCTATTAAAGAAGTAGAAAATACAAATGAAGAGATATTTCAGATATAAAAACAGAAGCACTGGATAAAGAATATCCCAATGTTACCGCTTTGGAAAGAAAGATATCCTCAGGAAGTCAGGTGATACCTGGAGCTGCAAAGGGACAGCTCTGAAGGGAAAGGTACCCTGACTCATCGGGAAGTCAGGGATACCTGAAGCTGAGGTGTGGTGGGAGATGGTCTCCTCACAGGATGTAGCAATCCTGTTCTGCTCTCCTAGAGCTCTTCTCTGCTCCCCTAAGGGAAAGTCCTAGGGGAGTCCTGTTTCTTCTTCTGCTCTGTTCAGCTCAGGCCCAAGATGCTACTTCTGCTGCTTCTCTCTATTAAAGGAGAAGCACCTTCAGAATGTAGCAATCTCCTCCAGCTCAGGAGAAAAGTTACTGTCTCTTCTGGTTTTTTCTGCTCACCCCCACCCCAAACTCCAAAGGGAATGTCTCAGGAAGGAGGAGTTCAGGGGTGGCTGCTTCTGCCAGAGTGGTGAACGGCAGCCTGTAACAGAGCCAGCAGAAGGGCTTATACAGGGCTCCTCAGCAGTGGAGTTTCCCCCGGGGAGATTTTTGTTTTTTGTTTTTTTTTGCTCTAGTTTTGGGGCTAGGGCGTATTTCTTTCACTGGCTCTGGTTCCAGGATCAAAGTGTTTCTTTGGCTCAGGTTTCAGAGTCAGGGTGTATTTCCTAGGTTCTGGGTTCAGGTCTAAAATGCAAAGATTATGAAAAGTAATAATATGTAAGGGTAGAAAGATGTCCCAAACGATACTCTATATAGTCAGCAACTGAAACTGTAAAAAGTCCAAAATGGAAAGTGTTCATTAGTCAACTTAAAATATTACATATTTTTACTTTTAACTTTGTAAAAATTAACATTCATACATTTGATAGTCATTTTTGGGTG